TAAGTATCTCAGAATTAATTTATCATCTCACCTATCATGGAATGAGTACATAGATATCATAACTAGAAAGGCATGAAAAACACTTTTATTAGAAGTCATTTATTAGAAGAAACCTGTACTTGGCAAGCTCTACCACTAAAATGCTATCGTACATTACACTTGTCCATTCAAAGATTGAATATGCATCCATCATCTGGAACCCACATCAATCATTTCTCTGGCCATAAAATGGCCCTTGCACCATTAAAAACCATTCATCATCATCATCATCAATCATGTCTCATCGATCAACTAGAATCAATACAAAATAAAGTGGCAAGATTTACCACCAAGCACTGTTCTCGGAACTGCAGCATTACAGATATTAATCACTCACTTTCATTACTCCCTCTTGAAAAACGCAGACTGTTGTCACTGTTTTCGCATTTCATCTAGTTATTAATCTAAATAAATCTAAGTTTATGGTTTTTAGATAACCTCAATGCAAGTTAACTTCATCACTAGGGATCACATTTGACTCTCATTTTATTAATATCAGTGACAGCGTATCATTTCTTGGTGTTCTACTCGGTTCTAACCTTAAATTCGACCCCAATATTGCTCAAGTTAGAAAAATGGCAGTATTCGGCATTTGCGCATTACTTAAAGCTTGCTCATATTTTTTTCATAAAGCCCTCTTTTCTCTTTACTTCACTTTCATAAATTCTCATATCACTTATTGTATCGCTTCATGGTGTAATACTTATCATCCTTACAACATTTCAACTTCATCCTTACAACATTTACAAAATGGAGCCCTTTGCGTTTTTTTTTTTTAACTGTACTCGCGTCAGTAACATCACTCACCTTCTCCATTGTAATTCATTACATCTTAACTGATAGCAACTCATTTAGATTTAATCTAATTATGTTGCTGCATAAACAAATAACACCACCTTTCTGCCAATTTCATTAAATATGAACCTTTAGTTGTAGTACTAACATTACCAGATTTACGGCTAACAACTTCCTGCTTCATAAGGTTCATATTAACTATGGTAAATCATCTTCACACTCCTGTGTCATCTCATTATGGAACTCCTTGCCCTCATCACTAAAATGTAAAATTTCTTTGATTTCATTTAAAAGTTTATTAAAGCAATATTTGGTAAATTTATCAGTTTCCTTTATTTAAGTGTACAAGATTTATTGCTATATATTGTACTAATGACGTGTTTTAGTTCCATGTCTTGTTGTTTTTTATTCTAGTTTAGGCATTCCTTCTTTGTTCAGTTGTTCCAGTGTTGTGGTGCTTTTAAGTTTACTTATTATGTGTAGTGTTTTTATTGTTGGTTTCTTGCTTTTTTGCTTTTCATATTTGGTTTTTCAATTATGGGGCCTGCTTTTAATTGTTTTATTCAATTATAACCATAATCGAGGGTTCCATTGCAGTCACGAACTAAGGGATTCTGGTCTGTACATTTTATACTTCGTATTCATTATTTTTGTCTTAGTAAACCTTATTGATTGATTGATTTTTATACATTTTAATATAGTAAATTCTGCTTTCGTATAGCCCACATAAATACACCTCATAATATTCCAAAACGTATTGATCACCAATTCAAAATACAGCATTTCCTTGCAACTCAAATATGTATCATGAATCAACATTCCTTCAAGCCATGCATCACTGGAACATCGCTGTCTGGGGGGCATCGCTTCAAATATTGATCATGCCGCTTTTGTAAACGAATTGAATATTTTCTTGTACTTATAACTTACCTATTTATGCATGTTTGTATGTGCATGTATGTATTTATTTTTACTCTTCTTTCATTGTAAATGTACCCTTTTTTTTTTTCATGGAAATTTTCTGTATATTTTAATACTTTTTCACACTATAGCCGTGTCCCTCTTATTGAGTTTTCATTCATGTCACCAATTCTTTTCCCCTTTTGCATCTTTGTCCATGGAATTGTATTTTACTTTGTTTACCATTTTCATTATATAATAACAATGTTCTGATTTGCAAATTTATTGTATAACTAAAACCCCCCTATGTAATGCCCGAATGGGCCTTTAGGATATACGTGAATAAATAAAATATTCTCACTGGTTCTTTCCTGAACCTATAATGCCCTGAAGCATAAAGATCGTGTACACAAGAAGGCTAAATGTTTTCCATTCAACAAGGGGAAGGGAGAGTTCAGTTTTTTCTGAACTCTCTATAAATACCTATGCGAACGGGACCGCAGTTCATATATTGCATTATTAGAAAAAAACGCTTCTGACAGTTCGGCTGAGTTTTGGAAGTATGTACGGAAATGGTCTAGCAAATATGAGGAGTCCTCCCAACAACTGGACTTGGACGATGTCGAAGTGAATGCCGTAGCTGACTGTTTCACCAACCATTCTTCACCAGTTTGTATGGCCTCACACACTAGGACTCCGTTGGGACAACAGCACAAGGCCATCATCACATCTAGTGGTCTGTTGCTGGATAAAAAGCTCATCTGTTCATGCATTAGGTGCTTAAAACTGGCCTTATCGTGCGGACCAGATGACATCCTTTTCGCTATACTAAAGGCTTGTGGTAGTATATTTGCCCCATTACTGGCTACAATATTTAATAACTGTCTGAACTCTTCCTCATTTCCCAGCATATGAAAAACTGCATGTGTTTTCTCAGTATTTAAGTCTGGTTGCAAAACTGATGCTTCTAATAATCGGCCGATTTCTCTACTGTGTGCCACATAGAAGATCTTTGAGCTGGCTCTTCACAACATATTGTATGTTAATGTAAAAAATTCATTGATTCCTAATCAATGCGGATTTCTCCCTAGCCGCTCAACTACCACAAATTTTGCTAGTTTCATGACGCAAATCGCCCTGCCTATTTTTAAGAAAAGACAGGTTGACGTAGTCTCCTGTGATCTGAGCAAGGCTTTTGACGTAGTCAGCCACTCACTGCTTTTAGTTAAACTTGCAAACTTTTGATGTTGACTCCTCTGTTGTAAATCTCTTGCACAGCTATCTCCTTAATAGATCATGTTATATTGCCGTGAATGGCGAAACGTCTTACAAAGTTACTAGTGGGGTCCCTCAAGGGTCGGTATAAGGCCCACTTCTATATTTAATTTATGTTAACGACATTTTTTTTACAGTTCGTTATTTTTTTTCTTCTCTTGTATGTTGATGACATCAAGATATTCAAGGAAATTCATTCAGTGAACGACTGTCGACTAGCGGCTGTCAGATTTGGGTTCTTTGTCTGAATAGTGTGACAATAATGACCTTTTCCTACATACTTCAAAGACCAAGTTCATGAGTATACCTCGCAAAACATCCATTGTGCCATTTTCATACTCTGTCAGTATCGTGTCGTTCGTTATCTAAGGTTTATGAGTTCAGTGATCTTGGTGTTCTTTTCGATAGCGTGGTCAATTTTTCTGTTCACACTAAACATACTGCCATGCAGAGCCTTTGTTCTCTCGGTTGTGTTTGCAGATTCTCTCGAGAATTGAGTTCTCCTACAGTTTTCTAGAAATTGTACACCGCAATACGTCTTCCTTAACTTGAATAGGCTTCTGTGAACTGGAATGGCATGGCTAAATCTGGCAGTGATGCCACTGATCAAGTCCGAATTACAACCATCTTTTTGCTAGAAATTAGTCTGGAACTCGTTCTAACACTGCCAGATTATTATCATTGCCATCACTTCACTGCCGACGAAATAACAGTGACCTCTTACGCCCCGCCGCTGTGGTCTAGTGGCTAAGGTACTCGGCTGCTGACCCACAGGGCGCGGGTTCGAATCCCGGCTGCGGCGGCTGCATTTCCGATGGAGGCAGAAATGTTGTAGGCCCGTGTGCTCAGATTTGGGTGCACGTTAAAGAACCCCAGGTGGTCTAAATTTCCGGAGCCCTCCACTACGGCGTCTCTCATAATCATATAGTGGTTTTGGGACGTTAAACCCCACATATCAATCAATCAAATCAAATCAACAGTGACCTCTTATTTTTTTACAAACTAGTTCATTGTATGATATCCTTCCCTTTGTTTCTGAAATGTGTAAATTTTCGGATTTCGTTTAAATTAACCAGAGAGAATCGACCATTTCATGTACCAGCCAACTTCTATAAACACTCTACCGTTCATAGAACACAGAGTTTATATAATGTTAACTTTCATGATCTTGATGTTTTTCACAGTCCACTGCCATTGTTTTTATCTCAGCTTTGCACTGTATTCAGATAGTTTTTTATAATGTACAGATTCTCTTATCTGTTTTTCAGAAAGCCTTCCACATAGTTGTGTATACTCCCCATAATTTTTCACTGCCATTCCATGGTTCTCATCTTGTCTTTATTCTTGCCATTTTGAGCTGATTTCATTTTGTCTGTACATTTTTTATGTTAGATTTTTTTTTCCTGTAGAATGTATTGTATTATTTATTTTTGATGTTTTATTTTGTGTGTACCTGCACTAGGGCCTTATGGTTGTTCCAGGGCATGTTAAATAAATTATTATTATTATTATTATTATTATTATTATTATTATTATTATTATTATTATTATTATTATTATTATTATTATTATTATTGTCATGATAATAAGGAATCAACAAATAATTTTTGTAGTATTGTATTTTTATGTTATTGTCACCTATTTCTGAAGTAGTCTCAAAAGGTGCTTACACTAGGCTTTTTTACTGTCAGTTTATTTTATCTATGCTGTAATGTCATTATTATGGTACTGAAAAAAGAAATCTTATAGACAGGGGCTGTACGTTGGTACCTGTTAAAGTGTAAATCACTAAGCATGTGTTCAAGCGAATAAAACCCTGGCCGTCCAAAGGGCCCATCAGCAGGCTGCCAAAATCGGCTTGGCAGTTCTTACGGGAGACTAGCCGGGTGGTGTGGGGTCTCCACTGTGTCTTCTGTGGACCAATATAAAAGCTTTCATCATCATCATAAAGCGGCTGGTAATGTTTTTAACATATTGTTATTCTTATGCAGGGTGGCACCAAACTAGAGCGGGCTCGGGATCTTTTTGAGCAGTGCCTCGAAGGTTGCCCAGCAAAATTTGCAAAGGGTATGTACATATTTCTTCGGCAATCTGCTTTTTATCCTATTCAACTGTTTGGTTCAGTGACAGCAACAGTTTGTGTACAGGTACTCTAAAAATGGTGAAGGGAAACATGTTTTTTTACGCTGCTACTCTTTTTTTTTTTTTCATGTATTGTGCTTACTGCTTTCTTTGCTTACATTGCTGATGTTCATCTGTCATGTATTATAGTTGCAATATGTAGTTTCTTTGTGATTTCATTAATGTTACCTTTGAGACATTGTTAAGAGCTCATATCAGGTGAGTGCACCTTTTGTATCGCTAGAAGGTCGGTGGCGTAATCAAACAAGCAATTTCTTTGCAGTGAAAGCTGTTATGAAAACACAACAAGAATGTCGTAGTTGCCCGCCACTGTCACTGCTGTCCATAACTGCTGTCATGTGATATAAGAAAAAAAAATACCTACTTACGAAAAAATACCAAGGATGGAACAGGCTTTGAACTTGGGTTCTCTCCGTGGCAGCCCAGTGTTCTGAGCTACGCCAGTGCTTGAAACTCTGTTGCAAACTGACCTTATGCAGGCTTCATGTCGGGTTAGGAATTGCGTTAACATGTGTAATAAGATGTTTTAGAATAGTAAAGCAACAACCACGCACCACACAATGTGAATTGCATAACGAGAAGGTCGTTGATTGCTTCAATCTATTGCAAAAGCCTCAGGCATGAAAAATTGCGTTAATATGTGTATTAAGATGTTTTAGAACAGTAAAGCAACAACCAGGCGTCACACAATGCGAATTTCATAACGAGAAGGTCGTTGATTGCTTCAATCTATTGCAAAAGCCTCAGGCATGATTTTTCATCGTTGTCAGCCACCACATCAACAAATGCACGAAATGCCTTACAATAGTGTAGTGGGTACCACGCTTCTCTGAAGAATGACAAATAATGGCATAGCGGATGCTTCATATTATCTTTGGCATCTGGGTACTATGCAAGTGTGCTTGTAGTATTTGACCCAAAAGCGCGTAGAAAAGGCTCTAGAGAGCCCGCTTTTTCAGCTTTCACTGTGACTGTGCTGTGCGTTTTGCACAGGCCTGGCCATTTTTTTTTAAGGTATGACTCGTTCGTAGTTTGTGTTAATGTATACATGGTGCACTGAGAAATAAAGAAAGAGGCATTAAATGGTCTAAAGAAAGCCTATTACATACTAGTATTTCTATTACTTTGGAGTAGCCACCAGTTTTTATTGCGATAGCAATCATAGGGACACTCTTGGCTGGTTATTGCTTTCGCCGTTTGCTGCAGCCGTCATGCCTCGTATATATATGTATATAGTATTTACTCAAATATAGGCCGACCCCGATTCTAAGTCGACCCCCAAAAGTCTGAACTTGAGAAAAAAAACTTACTTCGAATGTAGGCCGAACAAAACAGCGCAGACAGCGTTCACAAAAATAAAACATTTATTGAGCGTGAAGATGAAACAAAGCAGTTGGTTCAAGATGCAAATAGCTTAAGAAACATACAGCCGCTAGTGCTGTTGTGTGTGTTTCTTTGTCGTTCTTTCTCGTGCTGCTTTTAGTTGTTGCTGCTTTCCTTGTCGCTGTCTTCAAACAGTGCGCAATCCTCAGTGCCATCAAGTGTATTGGATATGCCGCTGTTATATAATAAGGTTTGGGGAGCAGGTTTTATTAGTTGTGTGAGAGATGCTGGTTATAGCAGCAAGGAAGAGGATGAACATGCACTGCACACAAACATGCATTTCAACACAAGAAGGCACTAACAACAGAAACACAAAGCACTGCTAGAAACATAAGGTAGCAAAGCGTCTTTAAAATCTAATCAGTTCAGACAAATGACACTATCGCGCGTTTGGGGACTGACGAAAGAACTGTGGTGGCGTCGATGCTGTCGGACGAGAAGGGCCAGGCGGGTTGTCGCTGGTGCTGCGTCCGCGGGGTGTGGCACGTACCGAATCGTTCAGGCATTGACATCTCACGATGTACCTCCGAATGTTGACATCCGGCCAGGCCAACGCGTTTTCTTCTCTCGAGCTTCTGGCTCCATCTGATCGTCCAACATGGCCTGTTCTTTTCTTTGGCACGTGCTACGTACGTGGGCACGTACAGGGAGATATACCTCTATTAAAAAGGCTGGACGGGGCATTCCTGCTCTTCAACGTGGGCGCTTGTGAAGCCACCGAAAGGTTTCTTCACTGTTTCGGAACCTGGCGTCTTTTGGGCGCTTTAAGCGTGTAATTCAACTATTCTCTGGTGGTAGTTGTCGCCGTAGTCATACTTTTTCCATTTATTTTATAATATAACTTTCTCATGGTCATTCAACCTTACAGGAAAAATGACAGATGCTGTACCAATGCTGTCTAAATACAGTGTGGTGCTGTAATCTACAACTACTCCATACAACAAGCACAACGATAAGCATTAATTTACACACTAATTCTACATGAAAAATGACAGACACTGTATCAACGCCATGCGGATAGGACAGAGTGCTGTAATCTACAACTGCTGCATACAACAAACCCTACGACTCGACACCACTTTAGATGTCGACCAACGCTGCACGAAAAATGACAGACGCCGTACTGACACCGTCCGAATACGGTGGAGTGCTGTAACATTCAACCTTACAATTACTCATCCGTCAGCTAACACACAAACAATCCTCCTGTCATTTTCTTTTCACCAAAAAAGAGCAATAAGTGCAATGGTAGCCAGGTGTGTAAAGGTTCGCCTTTTGTAAGTGATCCGAAAAAGAATACAGCGTTGGACGGCATAGTTTCGAAGATGAGTTTTTGGACCCGAGTAGTCGAAACATGACTCTGCGAAATGGTCACAGCAAAGTCCTGGAGACGGCGTTCAATAGTCCCTCTTTATGTTACTGACCCACTTCTTGTATATTTGAGGCCTCGAGTGCCGGAAACTGTGTGGTAAAAAAAAAAAAAAAAAACACCAGGCCTGCGCAGAAGGCGCAGCAGTAACAGCGAAAGCTAGAAGGGTGGCCTTTCAGACCATTTTCTAAACACTCATTGAGTAACTGCTGCAAGAACACTTGCTTGATACCCACTATGGCATTAATAATAAAAATTTTGGGTAGTAGACCAGCATTCCCTATGTTATTTTTCGTCATTCTTCTGAGAAGCGTGGTATGCGCTAAACACTTGCAAGGAATTTTATGCCGATTGTTCGTGCAGTGGCTGACAATGATGAGGAGTTATGGCTGAAATGGTTATGTTTCACAGTTAATGAGGGAACAAGATCTTACAAGCTTTTGTAATGGGTTGGAGCATTGGACTACCCACTCGTTACGCTATTCGCATTGTGCGATGACTGGTTGTTCTTTTGCTCTTTTAAAACGCTTTATAAGTCGTATTAACGTGATTTTTTTCCTGACATCAAGCCTGCCTAAGGCAAGTTTGCCAACAAGTCCCAAGCACCGGAATGGCTCAGTAGTTGAATACTGGGCTGGCACCCAGCAGACCCTGGTTCGAGCCTCACTGTGTCATTTGTACTAGGTTTTTTTTTTTCTTATTTCATGCGACAATGGTTATGGACACCGGCGGTGGTGGCGGGCAACTACGGTGCTGGGCGAGACTAGAGTTGTGATCCCATAACAGCTTTCACTGTAGAACACCTTCAACACACCTAGTAAAAAAAAAAGGCGATCAACTATCAAAATTTTTTTGCAGAATGCATAAAAAGTTATTTAATTTTGAGGTACTTATGTATAAAATGTCTTTGTGATGACATTTCCAGTCGATTCGTAATGTTTACTGCGTTACGTACAAGCTGGTAGTTCATTAAAAAGCCCTCACACTAGCAGCAGGGTTTTCATGGTGGTGGCTTCCGGAACACCAACAGTGGCTTTTGGTGGCTTTAGCGGCGCACACTCAATGTGCCATCCAGCTCCCACTTGTGGAGATTAGTCGGTGAACCACTCTTGCTTCAGTGCACGTGCTTGTGCACTTTTGCCACTACTTCATCATCTTCTCTGTGGTGTCAGGGGACTCATCACTGTCGCACTTCTTATAAGAGTGTACAATCAAATTTCCTGGGATGTTGTCCCATGCTGAAACTCCTTTAGCAACGCTTAATTTTTATTTATTTTTTTTTGTCCACTCCAAAGTCCTGGCGTGAAAGTTGGACGACGACTCGGCGGCTAGAACAACTTATTGTCTAGGTGGGGCTAGTTGCGCACCACTTTTTTTCAAGATGCTCGAATCTAAGCCGACCCTTGAGTTTCACGCAAACAAATTTGAAAAAAAATATATTACCCTAGATTCGAATAAATACGGTATATAGAACAACATATACCGAACATCATATACATATAGAGCAACAAAGAAAAATCATTCAGAAAAATACTTTCCAGTACGCGAAATGGATGTGCGACGTCTCACTCCCCAGCGAGTGGTGTTAGCCAATGAGCCACAAAGGCACACGTTCTTCAACATTCTGAACGGCAAGCTATTTTTATTTACCACTGGTGGTGTCGATCTCGGGGGAAATAGCGTGTTTTCAGCATTTCCAACGAGATGGCACAAAGAGCGCGCTCATGCACTCAACTCCCACGAATACTTTGCTCGCAGGGGGTAGATGCTAGTGCGTGTGCTTATCTTAGGGTGGGGGTGAATTGTACGGCTTGGCCTTTCACCAGAACGATTATCTTTAGCTACCGGGCGCACAGATGTCACTTCACTTGCTGCGCAGTCTTCATTTGCAGAAAGAGCGTGCTTTTCAGGCACAGCTAAGTAACTGTGACACTTGTTAGTTCGTGGTCATCTGAACCTGTGAATATGTTTCGTGTGTCATTTTTATTCGAGCAGAGTTTTAAGTGTTCAGCTGTGAACATTGTTCGGTCTTGTCCTGTGTGTATTGTTTTCGTGCGTCACTCGTGCGGGAGCAACACGCTGCACGATTCGATCTGCTTGCCATTCTTCATGTGACATTCCAATTTGTTGCTATCTCATTCATTGCTTCACCCCTGTGGCAAAACTGACTTCTTTTCTTTTATCGATTGTTGTTCGCAGCTTGTGAATTAAAAGTGAAAACACAATAAACACTGACTAAAGTTAAAGGGTTTTAAAACGTTAAAAGGTGTGAACAAGGCTTCCATGTGGAAGCTGAGAAGTCTTTTAAAGTTTTAGTGCCATTTAATTTTTTGTCAGTGTTTGGTTTGTTTTATTTTTCATCATGCCTCCTCCAATCATGTGAATTATGGTTCAACCATCGATTTAATCATAGCTTGTTAATGTAAGGTGCACTGAGATTTAAGAAAGAGGCATTCAAGAGAGCTTACTACATGCTTCTTCCAGTACATAAGAGTAACCACCACTAATTCTTTTAGTGTTTGGTTAGTTATTTTTACTTGTAACTTTGGTACCTTCTGTTCTAATTATAGAGTTTTTGATTGAGTAATTGTCAGCATGTTTAAAGGACATCTAATGGTGGTATCTTCAACACTATATTAATTACATCCCAATTTTTCTGGCTTATAATAAAAGTTCATGAAATATGAAACATGCTATAAGACAATGTTCCCATCTGTTTCATTAAGCCGCACTACCCTCAGCCTAACAAATTACGAAAAATTACTTTTCCTGTCTCATGGTGCTAGATACAGGGCTTTAATGCCTTCATATTTATATAAAGCAAGCATCAATAACATGTGTCTCAACCTTGTGAAAATTCTTTTGTCTGAATTTATGCTCAAAACAGTTTCATTACTATGAGTCGCAGCGGCTGCATTTTCGGTGAAGGCAAAAATGTTTGACCCATGTACTTAGTGCACATTAAAGAACACCAAGTGGTCAAAATTTCCAGAGCCCTCTACTATGGCATCCCTCATAACCATGGTGGTTTTGCGATGTTAAACTGCAGATTAAAAAAACAGCTTTCTTACTATTCATGACTATCAGTTTTATGTCATACTTGTCTTCTAGTGTATATCTCATGACTGGCTGGCCTATTGATGAAGCAGCCAGATCACTCTTTTCACCACAAACTGTCTTTGTCAATTAATTTTTGTTGTGATGGGTGTCAAGTCAAGTAAAAGATAACAATGTACACGATGCATCAATGGTGGTGTGCCTATTTCATGCTGCTACATTCGTGTGTGTTGCAGTGTATTAATATAGCTTTTGTAGCTCACAGGTTCTCGTCTTCAGCCGGGAAATGTTACCATGCAAGTAGCATGTTGCTTAAAATACTGTAGTTAGATGTTCTTACTAATGCTTTATTGACTTTTTGACAATTAGCAAAGTAATTATCAGGTTAAATGATATGTTATAATTAATTACTTGTAGTTAACAAAAACTTACTGGTGACTTCTCTACTGTGCTAGAACTTAGTTTTTTTCACCTAACACAAGCATTCTTTATAAATCTTCGTGCATGATGGCTGGGACACCCTGTATAGGTATGTAGTGAGGTTGTGATGGAGGCTAGCTGGTGCAACTTCACCACTATCTATGCAGCAAGGTATTGACAATGAGAGGTACACTCACAGAATGATGCTCATACTAACTGCTTTATTTCAAACACGTGTTCAGGCACAAAAAATCACCGCCATATCCAAAAGTGAAAGACGTTAGAGTAGCTTGCTCGGAGGTGCATAGGGCGTTTCTTGGCGAGACCATTTCTGTAGGAAGGCTTGTTAACGAGCTGGCACATGATGTGTGCGTCAAAGGCAGCATTGCCGAACATGTTTCGTGGCCGGCACTGCACAGTGTTAGCCACATTGATCGCACGTTAACCACTGGCCCCTTTATGCCATACTGGCCGCTGCCGTGAGTAAAATGCCTAACACTCATAAATGGCAGGCGCGGAGCTATCCAGGCATTCTTCAGTGGGGTTGAGAGCAGGCAGGTGAGAGGGCTTGGGAGGATATCAGTACCCATGCGTGACACTCATCGTAGGAACTTGTCATGTGCTGCTGTGCTTACAAAGCAACGAGAATAAAGTGGATGTAGTCGAGAGGAGGCGAGTGCCCGGGCCATCGAAAACTGATGCTTTGGGTGGTGGCACACCATCTAGTGAACATTATTGGAATCACCAGAGAGGACGCAGTGACTAAAGCAATGTACACTGGCAATACTGGTGTACTTGCAGACTGCCGCCGCCAGACAATGCGCGAGCATAGGAAGCTTGCTGAGCAAGCTCCTAAAATAAATCAGGTCATGCGTCATCCTGTGAGTGTCTTTGTTTCTTTGTTTGTGCCTCATATCATATCTGGATAGATAGGAAAGAACCCAGTATAGCAGCATTCAAACTCTTTGACGACTCAAAGGAGTGCTTCATAATCTTGGTTTGTTTCTTGTAGCTTTGTATCTTCTATATGCCAAGCTGGAGGAAGAGCATGGTCTTGCACGCCATGCAATGGCCATTTATGATCGTGGCTGCAAAGCTGTGCTGCCTGAGGAACAGTTTGAAGTAAGTCATTATTGGTAATGCCAGGCCCAAATCTAAATAAGCTGCTGTGCCACTGATATTGTTTGGTGTTTGTGTTCAGAAGTACGGTTCAGTGGTCAGCTTGACACTCAAGCAGTCAAGCATGCTTTCTTGCACAACTTTTCTTTATCGTAAAGCTATTTTTATTATAGAGCAATTTTTTTAATGCCATGCAGATGTTCAATCTATCGAATTGAAATTTTAAAAAGCTATATGAACCATGGTGTTACCTTTGATACAAACAGTATTTCTATTAATGTTTTTTTTCCCAACACTGTTTTCTTTTTTGCCTATGTAATGCTTTTTCAGATGTTCAATATATACATCTTGAAAGCAGCTGAAATATATGGATTGACACACACCCGTGAAATCTACGAACGTGCCATTGAGCTTCTGCCAGACACCCAGGCTCGACTCATGTGCGTGCGCTTTGCTGACCTTGAGCGCAAGTTGGGCGAAATTGACCGTGCTCGAGCCATATATGCACACTGCAGTCAAATGTGTGATCCACGGGTGAGTGTCATGTGCTTAGTTGTTAGTTACTACCACAGTGGTAGGTTGAAAAAAAGAACATATGAATTATTGGATGTAGTAAAGTAAATTATAAAAACTTCACACTGATACTGGCTTGTAATGAATACATGCTTGTAGCGCACTACCACATAGTATTGTTGGATTCTGCTTTGATATAATGAAAGCTCACTCAGTGAAGTAAATTTATAGGAACTGCAAAACAGTTTTATATTATGCAAAGATATTGTAACCCCTTGAAATAGGGGGCATTCATGATGCTGTTTGTTGGGCACCATCGCAAAATCATCTGCTAGCGTCTCTATAAGGATAGACCACGGAAAGGCCGAGTGAGTAAGTGAGTGAGTGAGAACAACTTAGCCGCTCTCATCGGCAGAGATTTCGGATTGAAAAAATATAGTTCTTTCTTTCGTCGTCTAACGCTGAATGGTCAGTGAACCTCACCAGAGAACACTGTGCTGCCACAAATCGATGAGAATGCAATAGTTAAGCTCTGCGCGCTTCATAAATAAGCCAACGGCAGCTGCATGAGGCGCATCGCTTTGCAAAGCCGAACAGCTGCTCTCTAGTGGCATGTGCGTCCGATCTGAGATAGGCATTCAAGAAAAACGTTCATTGCAGAGGAGATGGAGTTCTTAAACTTTGCACATGACATTGCGCAGCAATACATCTCCATTGTATTTCCCACTGCAATCATAATAACAGGCTATATCGAAGTCACACTCTTTCTGCGCTCCCTGTGCAACACCATGCTGCATTTCTCAGCTCATTGATTTAGCCACAGCTATCTACACCCTTCGCAATAGCATGTGTCATAGTTTTTCAAAAATAAACAAGGCATGGACATGTGCATAAGCGGAGTGCTACCAACCAAACCAAAATAGCGATCGTGCGTTTCGACTGTTTTAAAGGGACCCTGAAACGGTCTTTTGAAGGTTTGTCCTCAATTTGGCTAGAGAATCATCAAATCATTAGCACCACAAGTTTAGCGGCACGCCACGTATGATGGCCGTTACAGACAATCATATCTATACCCTCCTTCTCAGCCCTGCCTAGCCTCTTCAACACATTAGACGTGCTGGCATCCCTGGTAATTACAGCACTTTGATGGGCACAATCGATGGTTTGATCTTCGCCCAGTTATGGCCTCTAAGATAGCCCACCGACAGCTTAAGCGCAGTCTCGGCAGCCATCACACAGTGTACCCGGCAGCTCGCATGCCATCTGGCAACAGAGACGAAGATCGTGGAATGGGTAATATCTGCTCTGACAGGTACCGCCATCCTACCAGCCAATCTTCCGAGCATTCCACAGCCAATCCAGCCAATCAGATCAGGAGCGTGGTTTGTTGTCGTGCTACTAGAGGATGTCGTACTGTTAAGAGGCAGTTGAAAACGCATTTGGCTGAGCCGCAGGGATCTGCAGCGATTTGCAGCTTTAAGGCATTGTAATAAGTTACACAGTTTACGCAGCGAGCTTAAATCAGTCTGTAAATTACACTTGGGACTCAATCTAACAGCCCAATGTGTTTGCAAAAAATAATCAAAAATATTTCAGAGTTCGTTTAATACACGCTGGTTGCTTATAATACCTTGTGATGGTAATCTATCACGTAGATTGAGTGTTGTTGTTCTGGTGTTCTGGAACGCTATATGTGTGCATTCACACATATAGCGTTCTAAAATGTCGTGCTCTTTACTTTTGCATGCTAGAGAAGCGTGCATTATTGTGTGCCGTGCACTATAGCAGACAGCATATCAAGATGCAAGTGTTCGGGATCAGCAGAAAGTTGGGCGCGATGATCTGCCAAACAAATAACTGTATCTGCAGTACACCCTAAGAACATGTACAACTTCTTAACTGAATGCTTCGTGTTAGCACTGCATGCTGACTGAAAGAAGCAAAAGAAAAGAAAAATAAAAGTGGAGGATGTAAGGCAAAGGGCAGAAGCAGCATGCGAGGCGCGTGGACTACTTACTTCGGCACACAGAAAATTGATGCACGCTGCCTTGCGAAGCTTGCAGAGAGGTGGCTGTGTGAATTTCGCAACCGTGTTTCATACGGCAGCACAGATTTGTCACAGTTGTTTGCAGCAGCGTCTGTGGCTTTGCTTATACATGTGTAAATAAATGGTTCATGCTTTCATCGATCTGCAACACCGACAAGCTATGTTGATTAACCATGGTCGCTCGTGCTGGTGCAGTGTCAGCCGTCTCTTTTAAAGCACATATTGTATCGTAATATATGTTGTTCTTAAGTGTAGGTATGTTGTATTCTAGCAAATAAATTGCATGGAGAAATATGAATTGAAATTAGAGTGCTTTTGCGCGTGCCGGTCAGTCCGAAGGTTCCAATCTTGTTGACGAAACAAGTATGTTTTTTTCTTCGTTCATGTAACTGATAAATTCGTATAAAATTAGTCCTACCTTGTTTCGGCATTGTCAGGGCTCCCTTGTTGCCTGAACAGTGCACCAAGAAATGGGAAGTCATTACAGAACGAAGGTAAACTATCAGTAGCTTGCACAATATGGCTGTGATACGCGGCAGGTTTCGTTTTTGTGCCAATGGGACATGATGGATTGAGCTTACGGGTTTAACAGATGGTGCTGTACATTCTGAATATCCCTGTTTAGATGTACCAAGCAAACAAATTGTGTGCCTGCTTGCCCTTTTTTTTCCCTCTCTCTTTCAACTTTCCTCATGCAGGAAAGGTTCAATAAATGCAGGTCATGCTATACTCTGAAATGTTATAGATGCTCAAGCTCACTAGAGCACACACTTGACTTTAGCCAACCTGGAGATGCAGCTTGCTCTCTTGGTTTATTAGTGTGAAGTGTGTCTCTTCTAGTCGAAATACTTTTGTGGATATTTTGTATTGTACTGAAAGTAAGCCTATTCGTATTTATTTCAAGTGCTTTACGTTTTCCTTCTTGTGTTAATATAATGTTGGTGTTTTTCCAGCTCGCTGGTATGTATGAAGTCTTAAGAGCTTGTGTGGAGTGATGTGAACTTCTTAGATGTAAGATCGCCATCTTTGATAAAATTGACTGTTATGCTGTCTTCTTCGGCGACTTTTTATGGGACATGCCTTGTTGAGTCCTTTTAACATTATCAATCATTACACATGGACCTACAGTGTGTAGTTCAATTGTAATTTCAATCAACGCTGGATTACTTTTTCGTAAGATTTACAGTTCCGAGTGCAAATGTTCTGCCACTTTCACTATGTCATTGCAAATTGTCTTCCAAGAAGCCATTCACACTCTTTGTCTAATGGTAGTGCAGTGCACTCCATTGCTACAATCAGGAAGAAAGTCTAAAAATGTGGTCTTTATGACCGTAATTTTTACATTGTCCTAATCAATGTAAATATCCAATGTAGTAAATGTGACCAGTATCTTAAGTGGACTGCTCTGTTGTTATTAATTGACAAAGATTGTTATTTTGTCATTGCTTATTAAGTACACACTACTGAGCATACTGTACATTACATACCTGCTGAGCCATCTATGGTTCTTTGCCAAAATGAATTCATGTTACTGAATAATGATAGTTATGAGCTGGGTATCACTGGTGCAATTCAGTCTACCAAGGAACCCGCTGCGGGCTATTGCTGCCTCACCTTCTTTTTTTAGTTACTTTTTTTTAAATCGTAGTTAGGTTAAGTGCAATTAAGGTAGGAGAAATTTTAAATTGCTGCACTTTGTATGTCTTTTCACTTAGGCAGCAATTTGCACACTTGTGCCTGACAGCACCATGTGGTTCATAGTGTGTTATTGTGTGATACTGTTTGTTCTCCAATACTCTGCATTGCATAAACAATACTGCAGAAAAATCCTTGAGCACATAGTGACTTGTGCAGATCAATGGAAAAATGTAAAAATGAATGAGCCTAGTGTTACATTGTGGAAACGATGTGGTGACAGTGTGTGTTATTTGTTTCTTGGTGAATTCATGACACAAGAAAAAAGTTATCAGAGTTCAAAAAATGTTGGCACATGGCAATCTTTTACTAGTATACCCCAGTAACCATCCTAGCCCTTCACTTGAGTTACAGAAGCTGGACTGACTTTTTTAATTGCAGTGGGAGGGATACATAGTTCCTTCTACACCACTGGTCAACAAGCATCATGCAAACCCACCTGCTACAAAAGGCGTGCATGGAAATTGTATGGCCTGCATTTTCTGAAGTAGTAGGTGGTGCAGAGCCAAGAACTTATACTTGTACCGGGAAGATATCAAATTAATTGTGGAAATATGCTATGCTTTTTAAACTACTGCGGACATTGTAATGTGTTGATGACACCTAGCAAAAATAAAGTGAGGGCTACTCAAGTAAGCCGCCTCACTTTTGTTGCTCATTGTTTCAGTAATGAATCGTAATGTTAGAATGAATTGTATTTTTCACCCTGGCAATGATTTTTTCTGTATAAAATTAGATCTTACTTTGTGGAAATGTACTGCATAATTTTTTGTGCTGTAGTAATATTACCAGCGCCATAGCTTGGATACAATATTTAGAAAGTAGAGTTGTGAGTTAATAGTCTCTAATGGTGAATTATAATTAGTGCTAATAATTACTATGCAACTACAGTAAGAAAGTAATTTGCTGGTCAAACCTTATATTCTGTTTGCATTTAGTGACCTCTGAAAGATTTTAATACTGACATGCTATTACAAAAGCAGGTTATCAATATTTGGTTACAATTTTTGAAGGCTGTGGCATTTCGACCACAAAGGCCGATGATGCGTACAAGTTTGCATTAATGAGTGCATTCTTTGGATTGACGTGATAAGTCACGCAGTTGGTGACCCTGCCTAGTACATGAGTAGGACTATTTCTTTAGTTGTAGAGGCTACTGCCACGCTTTGGTCATCTGAGCGGGGCATCTTTCTAACTGTGGTGTTCATTTCATCAAATGCATTGATGGAGTAAGGAGCATTTATTTTCCATTAATTTTCGTGACCAAAAATTTTTAAAAATTCATTACATTTATTGACTAAAGCCCCAACCGCATGCACGCATTTTCCTTGTGACAGCAACAAGCGAAAGCGACAAACTTTCTCAGTCACGCCGCAGCAACTGCATGTCTCAGCAACTGCATGTCAGCAACAAAGTGTCATTGTTGCTTCAATGAAAACTAACGCATGCATACCCATGAATTGCAAATAAAAAGTTTAAAACTTGGTTGATGACAACATCCGAAATTTAATACTCTCTTGTGTGACATAAGGAAGCCACAAAAGCTTTTCACGACCTTCTTTTTTCACAATCTTTGGCTTAATTGCGACAGGCTGCACAGAAGCGTACGCTACAGCGGCTAAGACGCACTTCATGTAAATATTTTGCTTTGTGGCAAGTAACCAAATTGTCACTAGCTACCATCGAGACATCGAAAGAAACCTTCAACAACGGGATTTAAGACAAAATATGGCCGCTCTCTTACTCTGCATGTGAGATAAGAATGTAAAAAAGGTAGTTAATACCTTGCCTTCCTTGAAGTACATGCGGATAACAAGCATCGAGAGCAAATTGCAACCGAAGCGAGGACCAGGGGCGCAGTCATATTGCCAGAAATCGCCATGCTGGCTTCCAGGAGACAAACAATCTTTTCTAGTTTTCCAGAAAGGCCTGACACGACAAACGGCGACAACGCATGGGCCTCTGTGACAGCAAATCTTGTTGCTCGTCGCTGTTGGGAGAGGATCGTGTGCATGCGGTTAGGGCTTTGAAATTCGACTCCATTCAACTCCTTACCTTTATAACGAACATTTAACTAAGATTTTATGCATTTTTGGTACACAGACAACAGCTGACTTCTGGAACACATGGAAGGAGTTTGAGGTGCACCATGGAAATGAGGACACCATGAGAGAAATGCTAAGAATTAAGCGCAGTGTACAGGCCATGTATAACACCCAGGTCAACTTCATGACAGCTCAGATGCTGAGTGCAACTGCCAGGGAGACAGCAGCTGCAGGAGGCATTGAAGGTGAGTGTTTAATTGCATTTGATGTCTTTGGCCATTTCTTAGTGTTTTCAGAAGCAGAATATATATTGCTGCTCCTTTTCTTATAAATTGTGATAAACTGACCCAAATAGACTGTTTATCATTCATTTTAATTTTGTAAGAAATAATAATTATTGTACATGGAATGAAAATGGTGCAACATCTAGACCTGCTAAAGCTGTGTTGGGCATTATTGGCAGTGCCTGCATGCAGCAGTGAACTAACTTGAAGCAATGATATAGGATAGGGACCCAAAGGAAAGCAAAGGCAAAGAGAATGTGAATTGTAATTGTAATGACTGCTTTTATGCAATCGCATACCATTACAGAAACAAAAAAAAAATAGCATGCTGTACGAGACAGTCATTTTGTTACAGGCTTATTTGAGCACTCAGCAGGACGTTAAAAGAAGAAAACAATTCAACAATAAAACAATAGAAGAGTAAATATGAAAAGTAGAATAAAAGGTACAAGCAAAGCCATAAAAAGTTTCACAAATCAAAATAAGGAGCAGCTATAAAATCAATCATCTTTATGTACACAGGGCTTCAGCCAAACATATAATTCAAACTGAGATTGTTCTTGTGAGCTTTTTAGATCATGCATACTACATGTGTGGGATAGATGCATAGTGGTGGAGATTGAAGAAGGTGTAACGTAATTACCGTGCATTCGTTTACACTGTTTTGTCAGTCAGCGACGAATATAGTAATGTTATTTCAGTTTAAGGAGCAAAAAGAAGTATTCAAAATTTTGTAAAGGCAGTGCCAGAAATGTTAAGATGTCAATTGAAAAGAAAAATTTCATTAATCTGTAGCCTAGGGAAATGAAGTTTTTGCTGTATATATAGGATTTCATGCTGATTTCAGCTATGTAATCAGTTCTATAGTAAGTTGCACATTTTTTGTTTTGTGTCATGACAATGTGTAAAGTATAGTTCATTTTAAACAAACATTTTATGCCACTAAACTTTTATGGTTCTGAACTTTTAATGGCTAATACTGCTCTATATTAACTGTAGAATGCAAATAACTATCAAGGAAGTGTGTATACGACATTCTAATCAACAAGAAAAATTGTAATGTGACAATTCTTGGAATGCTCACCCCATACTATATGCTTACTTTAGGTTTGTAATACTTATACATACGATATCAAATTTTGAAGGAGATATTTACACTCTACAAATTTTTAAAAAATATGTAGGCAAAATTTCATTTCGATCAGGCTATCAGAAGTACTAAAAATATGATTTGCAAACATAAACTTAAGAAGGCGAATACAGCCCGAGACAGTGAAAGAGACCAACAAAACGCTGATTTATAACCAAAGTTTTATTCCATACATGGGGGTTATATAGCCCACGCAGCATGAAAAGAGGGAGAGGATGACAGTGACGTGGAACTTTTTTTAATGAAATATTTTTCTGCGTCTCAAAAAAAACTGTGATGAAGCATTCATCCACTTGACAAATACGCAACTTCCCTAGTGGGGAGCACTAACGAAGGTACACTCACACACATATCACCTTTCTTGTCAATGTCTCCTCCGTATCTTTCACTGTCGTGTTTTCGTGCTGTTTTCTGCCTTGTTCATTATGTACCAACCAGACCAAGTAAGCACTTTAGTAAAACTCAAGAAGTTGCCCAAAACTGGATTTTGAGAAAAACTTGTTTTATAGGTACTATAAATGAAAGCTAATCTATATGAGACAGATGTGTTCTTTAAGATGATTTCTTCTATCTTGAGAGCTTGTCAATCATGGTTATTTTGAGCATATGGCTTTAGTGAACTCCTCATGCAAAATGCAATGGCAAGCAGCCAGGCGACAATTTTCAGGGTACTCTAGACAATGAGTTTTTTTTAGTTTTTAATGGCCACCTTGTATGCTTTAACTTACTTTGAGTTTATTTACTATATTCAATTTTTTTTATTGTGGAAGTAAATAAACTAAACTTCTGAGAGTGAATAAAAATGAAAAATGTGTAGTTAAAAAAACAAACTTCCGTTTTCTATTCGCATCTCTCCTTAAGTGTGGTGTTTTTAAGTACTATTGTTGAACAAATTAAATCGTGGGCTTTTTATCTGCCAGAGCCAAAATATTATTATGTAATACATACTGTAATGGGACACATACTGTAATGGATCATTTTTTGGCTACCTGCAGCTCTTGAACCTGCACCTAGATCTAATTGCAATGTTACTTGCACATTTTGTGGTCATATTAATCTGTGGCCACCATGTTTTTATGGTGGCCACAGATTAATATGCAGCCGTGTCAGCCGTGCCACAGATTAATGTGCAGCCGTGTCACATCAATAGTGCTAAGGTGTGCCAGTTTTTTTTTTTTTTTTTTAAGAAAATAAAATTGTGTGAGATGAGCATGAGCTGTAGTTTCATGCTAAAGCATACTGTATACCGAAGAATGGTTGGTGATGCTATACACTGTATGTGTAATAGTAGATTCTGTATAACACAAGACACAGATACAAGTTCTCGGTGACATATATAAGAAGAAAGTTTGGTCACTATCAAAGCTTTTGCTAAGATATTTAACAGAGACTATACAGAAAAGTAGTGTCGTTGCAAGTGCATGTAGAATAGTCGGACCTGTGTGAGAGTAATAAATGTACTAATTGCATTTTCTTGAATACATTATGAAAACATATTATCTGGGTTTTTAATGTGTTTGCATTGATGAAATTACTTGCAAACCTCACTAGTTGGAGGAGGTCTGAAATTGTTAAACATTTGGTCACTCACGATACCAGAATAGTGTCATCATGCAAAAAATGAGTCATTGGTGCTGTGACGGAAATTTAATTATTGGGTATCTTATAAGAAAGCATTTAATGCAAAACCCTCAGAAACACCAAACTTTTGTCTTTAAAAAGTGCACTTTAAAACCGTCCTAGCAAAACATGTTGGCTTTTATCTCTTGAAGGGGCCCTGCAAAACTTTTCTAAGTAACCAGTAGATGACCTCATTGCCTCATGAATTGACTGCAGTAAAAAAAAATTTAATCTGTCAAGTACGAGCAGAATTGCAGAGATTTGTCGCATGCTGTAATTGCTTTTGCGCTTTTCTTGTCCCGAGGAATGCACTGGAAGCAATGTTATTTTATTTGAGTGCTTTTGTTCAAGGTTCTGTTTTGATGTGGTTCACATTTGCTTATTTTCTCTCATAATATCAGTATTGAAACATGTTTTCTATGACTGCCTACGAACAGAACTGTCATTTTCTTGTGTGGCTATATCTAGAATTGTCTATTTTCAAGCACTAAAAGGACAGAACCAATGGTGAAGTCTTACTTTTCAGTGCATCTTGTTCTGGTGACCTGCTGCTGCTGTAGTTTTATTGCTGCTATGCGTAAGGTTGCTTGTTTGAACCATCTGGTGGCAATGGTTGAATTTTACTTTTGAATAAATAAAAGCACACTGCATGCTAGGGTTTGGCAATCAGCAAAATTGATCCCTAGTCCTTTGCAACAGCATCCTGTGTTGCCCACCTTCACTACATTAAGAGATTACGAATCCCTCCACCAATTTGTTTGGCCAAGAAGACTTTATGCGAGCTTCTAAATGCACACGTTATGGGAATGTGAGTAAGAATTAAAAAATTATTTCATGACTATGTTTGCAGACGCTCCAATAGACTCTATGCAGCAGTTGGAAGCAGCTGCTAAGTTGTTGGCTGATGAGGCAAGGAAAGACACTGCAAGAATGCCTGGGAAGGACATACTTTTTGTCAGGTAATAACTTTCAAGTTGTCGGTTTTCTGGTATATAATACCTAACCCTTTCACAGTCAGGTGTTTTTTTTTTTTTTTTTTTTTTTTGCTACTACTGCACTCTTCATGCCAGGTTTCTTCTTCTTTCTTTGTTCTGCACGAAATTTTCTGTTAGTAATGCAGTAGGATGCTGCTAAAGGTATGTGAACATTTTATAGGAGATTATCTCGTCTAAACAGTAGGAGCACTACTTACAACCAATCACTAAAAAAATAATTATTTTAATAAATAAATAGTTACTCATTATTCAGAGTCGCTGAGACACCACTTGTCCATTTTACTTGAAGTTTGAATTAGTCAAGGGCTCCTGAAGTTGTCCGTCTGTCAAAAGGCGCCTGCAAATGGCACGCTGACTGGCCATGGCTCCTTTTGTTACAGCAATTTTATTACAAGTGGTATCCCCGTCTGGCACAGCGTCCACATATGTGTACGCAACTTGTTTGTACCCGTTCCTCGGACTAGTGGGAAAGAAAGGGCAAGATACATTGCACATAAAATCAATTGAACATTTTGCATCCTCAACGCGTCTTAACACCAAATGCACTCTATATTACTACAATCGATCACTTTGATGAAGGAATTGCAATGTTTGGCCAGTCACTCGACGTGCCCCATGCCAGGACCAACTTCATAAGTATTATTTTTCATCGCTCAAAATGAGCACAGCCAAAAACAAACTGCGTGTGCACTTTGAGCCTAACGCTTCCTCATTTTTGCATGAATATCAAACATGACAGACTGTAGAATAATTAAATATTTAAACATATGCTAATTAAGATCAATTAGCAAACGCTTGCGAAATGACTAATTTGTACCTGAAGGGAATATTTGTTTGTATGTTCTCTCTATAAATGACTGTGCACAATGACATTATTATTAATATTATTATTATTATTATCATCTTTTTACAAAATTTGTCTCACAAGTACCAGGAAGTGGTTTAAAGAGACAAAATGAGAATACTCTGGATTGGCAGGGCTTGTGTGTGTGTCATCACCCGAATTATCGTAGTATTCGCAGTGACCGTGGTAAGATAGTGTCTTGCTGTTATTTGATATTAGCTCACACACAAAGAGCCTACAAGTGCTATAATAATAGGCGCACTAGATATAGGGTTCTCCCGATGTTGAATGGTAGTGATTTTGCTGCCCACCTATATGGCTACTACCTGCGCACCATTGCCCACTTTTTGGCCTTCAAGTTTGGTGTAGTGAAGGACGTTTTGTTGCTTCCGACTGCAGTTGACATTCATTTTTAGGGGCAAAGCTCCTTAGGCCGTGGGTCGTTCCCTCCTCGGTAGTCATATGTAGTAGTATGTAGCCACCTCTAGTTTATGAGCTGCTCAATAGATGGCGTTCTGTGTATATGTCCTTGGGATTAATATAACTAGATGGTGTTAGTGGGTTTCACAGCATATCTACGGAGGGAATGATGATGAGTAGGGCGAAGTGTCCCTCCGTCCGTCTGTCCATCCATCCGTACTTCCGTTCGTCCGTCCATGAGTCCGTCTGCCTGTCGATCCGTTCTTCTATCAGGACGGACGGACGGACGCTTTGCCCCACTCATCATCATTCACTCCATGAATATGCTACGATTTTTTGGACTTTGTAAGGACTGAAAAATAGTTAAAAAAAAGAATCAGTGCAGAAAGCCAATGCATGCAGTTTTACTTCCTCTTTGGGAAAAATATAAAATGTGCTTGCAGAACACTGAGAAGTAGGCTATGTGTACAACGAACCACTGTGGCACAGTCAGTGAATACATTAGGCTTGATGGAGGCTGCGTCAAGGATTCATTACAACTATGTTTTAATCATTAGGGTATTTAAAACAGGTTTATATTAATGATGATTTATGGACAGTACTCCGTGGACACTGTTGTGTATAGTTGTATCCTGTGGCAGTGGCTTTATCCATGTGTTTGTTTCAGTGCATAGCATTCTTGCAGTGCAGATATATCAAAACGTTTATTTGAAAAAAAAACAAGGAAAAAAATAGATACAGGGAGCATGTGGGTGGGTCCCCTATTCCAGGGCCCCACTGGCTTTAGCGGCCCGCTGCGCCTGGTCGAGGAGCGCTAGTTGCACTCCCAGATCCTCGCTGGCGAGCAAAGTCTCCCACTGCTCCCTTGCGGAAATTTTGCCGGCTATTTGCGGCGAGTTAATTTCGGTTGGCCTTTTTCGACAATCCCACGTGATGTGGGCGAGAGTGGGCCTGCCTCCGCACCACGGACAACTATCGCTGTACATCGCAGGGTGAATGGCGTGCTTCAACGAAAGATTTGGATATGTGTTTGTATATGGCGCCAGTCATAAGAATTCCGGCTGGGTAAAGCTGTGTGTGGTACACTGTACCTTCATCGCTCAAGCCGTTGGTTTTCAAGGATATCTCGCGGTAAAAAGGGGCTGTCGTCGGAGTGGTAGGCCGCTCGGTCGGTTAAAGCATGAGCTGCGCCGTCCGCTCTTTCATTGCCATCGAGTTGCAGTGCAGAGAAACTAACTTTCAGGACCATTTACAATTGCAAACGGGTTGAAAGATCATTGTTATGGCAATGATTGTGACCCTGCAACACTGAATTTGACCTGACTATCGTGGCTTTAAATAATGCAGTTTTGGACCTGCAATCAGAGTAGAAAGTTGAAGCGATAATGTGTCAGAGTTTGAGCCTTGTCCTGAATTTTAGACGTAATTTGTATACATTATATCTATGTGAGGATGCCCCCGTCCCCAATTCTGAAATATCGACTTTAAAATTTTCTGTGTAAGACACTGACTAGGTATGGGAAGACAGGGCTTCAAATCACTATAGGCTACAAGTTTCTTATTGTAGTGCAATTCTTGAAACTTGACATATATGAGACAGTATTTCAGGGTATTGGCTTTCAGTGTACACTACACTGTCCTAGTTGCCTCACACAATGACGACGATGATTTGGACATTGCTGCCTCCTTAAGTACTTATAATAGCACTTTTTTTTTTTTTTTGGCAAACATGCTACAGGAGCAAAGAAATGTCAGTAGCTGTGCCTTATCAGTAGCGAGTGTGCAAGGTAGCAATGGATTTTCTGTCGGTTGGCCGCAAGAGGATATTTCACGAAATTACATCTGATGTGGCACTTTATGTCACACATAAAGCAATGTCCATTTTTCCAATTAAATGAGCACTATGCATTTAGAACGAGAAGGGAAGGGGCAATGGCCACATTGCCTCTACGTTAAAAACAGCTAAGCCAGGTGTGGCTAGTAGCTTTCTTTCAAATGCATGAGTCAACCATTGCCTTCATTATATTTTTTCTGTGACACTGCTCTGTATTTACTAGGGCTTAAACTCACGGTTCCTGTGGTGGAAGCTAAGTGGCCTGAACTGCCATTTTGCACATTGTTTTTATGTTCCTACATCCTGTCATTTCCGCCAATAAACTTTTTCCCTGCAGTACAACAGCATAGGCAACGTTTGTTTTACTCCTAATTAACTGTGCCTTCTTGGTGCTGTGGTGTAGTGAACTGCGGTGGCTGGCCTTGCGCGGACTTGAAAGCATGTTTGGCTGACAGAAGACATATTTTTACATTTTGCATGTTACTAATCATCTTCAGCTTGCGTGGAAAGTTGTTTCTGACAAATGAAGTTGGCAATTTTAAGCAAGCATTAGGTAACTGCAGGACCATCACCTGTGTGAAGTGAAAACAAAGGTGACAAAGAATGCCTATTGAAGTCAGCATGACGATTTCCTGTTTTACCAACTGGGAGTGACTCGACAACACTGGGAACAATGGGTTATTGGTCGGGGCTCATACAGCTAGCACACATACCGTATTTACTCGATTCTACCGTGCCCTCGATTGTAACGCGCACCCGATTTCCACGGCGGAAAAAAAAAAATTGAGACATCGATTACAACGTGCACCCATTTTTCTTGCCGGCCTGCTCGATCACACCACTCGAAAAAACGGCTCCTTTCTGGAGCGTTTTCCATTTAAATATGAGCTATGGGGGGAAGCTTGTGCCCATCTGACGTGTAACAGAGCATTGCTGTCACTGTAGTTTTACCGTGGGCCGGCGTCAGCACGCGAACTTGCTTCGCCCCCTTCTTCTCGACGGTTGTGGTGCCAGGCATATCGAAGTAAAGAGGCGCCTGATCGGCATTCCCGATTTGCCCAAGCAGGTAGCCGTTGTTGTGCCGCAAGTTTAGGACGAACCTGTGAAAACTGTGAAGCTTTTCATCGTACTTCTCCGCAGAACTTTTCGCATATGCCCGTTCAATTTCGGAGGGAAAAGCCTTTCCTCTTCATAAAGTTAGTTAGCCAGCACCTGCTCGCTTTAAACTAGCTCCGCATTAGACCTTTTTCTAAGGCTAACTGCTTAGCCCGCACTTGGAGCAGTTCTGTCGTCATGGGCCGCTGTGCCACTCGCTGCTCAAGCACATACTCGTTGAGCAGCTTTTCGATTTGCGGAAACCGACCCTGCTGTGGTCCACTAAAGCCTTTGCGTGAAGCTTTGCTGTCAAAAATCTTCTGCCTTTGTTTCCGCCAGTCCCGCACGCATGTTTCAAAAACTCCAAACGACCGCGATGCGGCCCGATTTCCGTCCGTTTCTGCACACGCGATGACTTCTCTTTTAAAAGCGGCATCGCGGTGCACTCGAGTTTTTGGAGTCGGCCCTTCCATGCCGTCAATGCTAATGCACTACAAGATGACGAACTCCTCAGCACACGTACGAAGTGCCGCAGATGGAAAACACATAGGCAGAAATGACCGACGCGCGTAGGAGGCGACCATTTTGAAAATGCCGATGGCAATAGAATGACCGTATTCAATTTTTTTCGTACTCGATTCTAACGCGCGTGCGATTTATGAACTTGCTTAACCAGAAAAAAGGTGCGCGTTAGATTCGAGTAATTACGGTAGTTGTTCCCAACACACAACCTTCTCACCATAAGCGGAGAGTTTTAATATTTCCGAAGGGGGTGGGACACCCAACTTGCTTTTCCACATCCACATTTCTCTTTCTCCACACGTGCATGTGCAAGGGGGGGGGGGGGGGGCGAGCCCCTTGTACTCTCTGCCTATGCTTCGGACGCTCAGTCTCACAAACAACAGAATGTGGATAAATATATTAACAGTGTACTTACATTTGGTTGATGCATAATAATTCATATTTAACAGATGTACTTATCAAAGTGAAAATTTTTGTTTTTTAAGGGGTGGCACTACGGAAGATGAGCAGAGCTTAGCAGAACGAAGCCGTACTACAAACCCAGATGAAATCAGCATAGATGATGAAGATGGCTCCGATGATGACCAACAAGTTGAAGGTGAGCTTGCCTTGGCATTTAAGCTGCATATAATGTGTTATGTGTGACTAAAATTTAGGCATGTGTAGCTAGGTGACAATAGCTGGTATTCTACACTACACAGTCACTCAGAACAGCATAGTCAGGTATGTTTGTAGGCTCATGTCACATGTGCGTTTTTTCGCTTCAAGGAAAAAAAACTGCGCCATTTCTTTGCAACTTTATGAGCATTAAAATACAGAGAACAGCATTCATAGTTGCTTTGGAGGAGAGAATGGAAGCTCCACAGTTACCCACAGGGGTTGTGCATGGTATGAAAATGATGGTCTGTATGCCAAAAATGAATGAGGGTCTCTCACTTGTCAGTGCCATTGACGCAATAGACTAGTGTCGAAAATGCAATAGACTAGTGTCGAGAATAAGACGTTGGATTAGGTGCGTTAAAGTATGTTTTAAAAGTGATGAGTTTATCAACATGAAAAGCCTCTGAGCGTTCTCCGCAAGTTGGCATGTGTTGTCGGGCATTCCAGGAGGCTTTCTGCATAATTAACTGGATGAAATTGCAAAGCATAATATTTAAAATGAAGCTGACTCATACACGAGAAACTTCAGAACAGCTCTTCTGTCTTGCTTATGCCCAAGCATTACTTTTAGTTCTTGCTACGAGTTAGAATTGATGTTTTATTCTTCACTTTTTCATGCTTGCTTTTGGGATCTCAATTATATCTAATACATTCGTTTAAATTCAGAATCCACTATTGAAAGGGGTACATTAAAGTTGAAGGAAAGGCTAAATTTTTTTTTTGCATTTATTACATTGTAACCATTGTCCACGCTCGAAACCATCATGATTTTTGGGAAGGTGACCCAAGTAGGTTAGAAGTTGTGTTGTTTGAAAATTGCGTAAGTTGCCAAATTTACTTACTCTTATTTTCTTTTGATGTTTTGCAGAGGTGGCTGTGGAACAAAGATCTGTTCCAGAAGAAGTCTTTGGCGATCTCAAAAAATAAGCAGCGAAATTATAGCCTGTCAGATAATGCTTGTGCATTGCTGTAGGCAGCAATAAAATAATTTTATTCTGATCGCACAATTTTTCATTTAGCATAGTATCTGTGCACGCTTTGTACATGTCAGGGCAAGGGTAAATGGGCTGCTCTGCTGGTTGGTATTGCATTTTTTAAAATGCATTTGGAGCACATTGCACAACACAGAAATTTTCAAATGTTTCCAGATCACTGCATCTAATTATTACGAATACTTTAACTTAGTCAGAAATGGCAATCTTAAGTTTCTCATAAAAATTGTAGGATGTTAAGTGTGACTTCTCTGTAACATTCTATAGATAATTTTTTATAAAAAATTTAAGATTACCATCTTTGACTAAGCTACCGAATGGCGCAGCGATGAGGCTCTGAACAACGGGGATCCCTCAGCCACGTACTACAATGAAATCACTGAGAACTTTTATCTGAGAAGGCAAAAGTATCCGCCGCCAAACATTAGACTGAATAGGCCATGGGCGTTGGCGCTTAGACTCTTGCAGGCATGAGCATATCTTAGTCCTGCACTTTTGTGCAAGATCTACCTAAAATTCAGACGTCAAACACTGGTGCACCTTACTGACTTTGCCAGCTTAGGTCACATTCTATGGTAGTGCCCTGTTTTGCGGGTTCACAAAAACCTTACATCGTCCAAATGGGATGCTGCACTGCGTAGTTTGGATTTGATAACGCTACTGTGGGCAGTCAAACGGGCCCACGACATGGTGGAGAGGCTAGGCCTATCTGTCCTGACATGGAAGCGACCCACCCCATACGTGCTAGTTCACGCCCCGACAGATCTGAATAAATGTTTTCCATTCCTTGTTATAGTGCAGCTGGAGAGAAAGAACAAACAAAAAATAATAATTGTGGGGTTTTATGTACAAATGTCAGGATACAATTATGACGCACGCCATGGGGGAGGACTTCACAATAATCATTACCAAATATGTAGGGAGGATAGCCTCACAGACAATCATGCAATCTATCATTTTGTACTCAGATCAAGAGATTATGTGTGATCTCCACTACTGAAAAAGCACCACTGTTAGAAAGACAACGAATTGTAGATAAGTGATGTTTATGAGCTTTGTAAGATAATGTCACAGAAGCTGCGCTGTCTGCTCTGGAAACACTGAATCGTGCCAAAAATGAAATTTAGTGTGCCAACTGCACTGCAGTAGGCAGCGGCTGCCTGTGAAGGCACCCAACATGGTAGTGAGCTGCCCAGCGTGTGCTAGAGGATCAGATGTATAGTTAAACCTTTTGCTAAAATTATTTGTGTGACTGAGACTTGGTTACATTATGATATTGGAAACTGTGAGGTGGCTCCACCGGGCTATTTCATTATCCGAAAAGATAGACCAGCTAGAGGCGGTGGTGTCGCCTTGCTCCTAAAACAAGGCATAAGTTACACAGTGATGCCAGACGTTTCGGGTGTAGAGGCGGTCTGGTGTAGGATTAAGCTAGGCCAGAATAAAGTCTGTGTTGGTGCGGTATATACACCCCCTCCAAGCCGAGGCGTCATATCTTGATCAGCTTCTAGATTATATGCAAGATCACATGGCGGGGAGCGGCATAATAATGGGAGGAGATTTCAATCTCCCCGATATTAAGTTGAACTCTCTATGCCCATCAAGTGTAACAAACAATATATTGCTAAGTCTTCTGTTCACTTTCAACCTTACCCAAGTTGTTTCTCAGCCTACTCGTGTGCAGGGCACTTCAAGCTCCATCTTAGACCTCGTTGTTTTGAGTGATTTCTTTTTGAAAGGTAAATACAACGTCACAGTCCTTGAAGGAATATCTGACCATGATATGGTTTTGTGTACGCTAACACTTCCAGAAAATGTTGCTCAACGTGGTACTAGAAAGTCCGTGTACGTCTTTAACAAAGCAGATGACGATGCCATTATGACCTACCTAGCCCATGAGTACTACAACTTCCATGAACTGGTCTCAGATGGCTCGGCTGGCTTAGACGAGATTTGGCTCTTGTTCAAAGCACATGTTATGCACTGCTTGAGGCAATATATCCCACAAATTCAAAAGAACACTGACAAGTACAACCCATAAATCTTGCGCGATGTAATTCACATAAAACGAAGAATAAAAAGACTGAGGAAATCTAACAGGGTCCTCCCGGACCCGGACTTCCACCAAAAAATAAATTCATTAAACAGGCTGCTAAAAGAAGAAACAAAGTTAGCAAGGCAGCACTACTGCAGTACAACTCTTAGCAACTTTATCCAACATTCACCCCAAAAATTCTGGCGATATATTAGATGTAAAGAAAGCAGTGCAAAACCACTGTCGCCCAAGGAAGAAAAGCAACAAGCAGGAACGTTTAACGTTTTTTTCCATTCCGTATATGCTCCTGACAATGGCACTGCGCATGCCTACAGGCCAGAAAATATAGAGAGAAACGAGGCGCTAAGTGCACCAGTCATAACCGAAGCAGGCGTGCTTTCACTCCTATTGAAGTTAGAGGATAAGAAGTTCACCGGCCCAGATGGAATCCCGAACTGCTTCCTGAAACGCTCCGCCGAACCCGTAAGCAAATACTTATGTCTTCTTTACAACAAGTCAGTTTCAGAACAATGCCTGCCAGCCAAATGGAAAATGGCAAAAATAGTGCCTGTCTACAAATCTGGTAATCCTTCTTCTCCGTCTAATTATAGGCCTATTTCTCTCACGTGTACTTGCTGCAAAATTTTAGAGCATATTATACTAAAATCTATTACCCAGTTTGTCGAGGAAAACAATGTTCTCCATCCCCATCAACATGGCTTCAGGGCTGGTCTCTCTACCGTTACCCAACTTGTAGAAATCCTGCATGATCTCGCTAAAGGAATAAATGATCAGACACAAATAGACATAATTCTACTAAACTTCTCAAAAGCATTTGACCGTGTCTGCCATACCAAGCTTCTTCAAAAACTCAGACATATTCTAGGGGATGGACCAATCTTCCGCTGGATTAAGTGCTATTTAACTGACCGCCGTCAATTTGTCCAGTTAGGCGCCAGCACTACTGAAGTTGAGCTGGTGCTTTCTGGAGTACCTCAGGGTTCAGTTTTGGCTCCTATCCTGTTTCTTTTGTTTATAAACGACATAACTTGTAGGGTTCAATCTAAAATTAGGTTATTTACAGATGACTGCGTCCTGTATAAAGAAATACAAAGCCAGCAAGATCAAATAAGTTTGAACAATTATTTCGCCTTGTTAGCACAATGGTGCGAGAGTTGGCAAATGGTCATCAACTTTGATAAAACAGTTGCAATGACAGTAACAAAAAAGAAACCAAACTTACTTTCCCGTATGGCTTTGATAGCATCATCCTTAAAACAGTCACTCAGTACAAGTACTTGGGCGTCGTCATATCGTCAGATCTCGGATGTTCGGCGCATGTAGATCACGTGACTGGCAAAGCGATGCGGAATCTAATGTTTTTAAAGCGGGCCTTGCGATACTCGACAAGCGAAGCCAAGCTCTTGGCCTATGCGACGAATTTACGCCCTATCTTAGAATATGCGAGCGTGGCATGGTTCCCGTCTACCCAAAAACACATAGCCACTATTGAGGCCATCCAGCGCAAAGCCGCGCGTTTTATCTGTAACAGATATAGGCCCACCGACTCGCCTACGCAAATGCTGACAGATATTGGCCTTCACACGCTAGCCAGTCGTGCGATGCTATCCCGACTCAAATTTATGTACCTAATCCTACACAACAAACTTAAAGTAGATTCGAACACCTACATTTCTTTCAACACTTCTAGAGAAACCCATCACAAGCATCACCTTACCCTGCAAGAATATTTATGCACCAACAATACATTTAGTTCTTCGTTTTTCCCGCGGGCAGTGCGAGAGTGGAATGCTTTACCCGAGACGGTGGTTGTGCAGCCCACTGCCGACAGATTTTACGAACTTGCTGGCCAAGCTGTTCTATCAGCTACGTGATAGTGACGCTATCAGGATTGTACTGATCATTGCCCTCCCTGCCAGTACATTTGTGGTTTAAAAAGGTGGAAGTCGGTACCAACTTTGTATGTTGCGTGCTTACCTTTTTCTTTCTTTTTCGTGTTTTTTTTTCAGTGTGTGCACATGTGACTGAGACATGTGCCTCGTTAATAATGTAGGTCCATAATTGTTATAATTTTATACCATGATTTTTTTGTACCCATACAATTGTATAAGTATGTGAATATAGAATGTTTGTTGACACTTTCCAACCCACTCCTGTAAAAATCCCTGAAGGGATTGACAGTATTGTTAAATAAATAAAAAAATAAAAAAACCTGATTATAACGAATCTCCATGTAAAGCTTTTCTATTTACCACTGTTACACCATAGAAACATATTTGCTACCTCTATGTTAAGGCACTTTTTCGCACGACACCGGTGTACTGCGGCACAGGTGGCTTAAGCAGCATTTTGGACGTGTTAGAACAAGGCCAAAAAATTTTCGAACACCGCCATGCCCGTCCCTCCTCCTCCTTTTTTTCACGAAGGGGTTAGGTTTAGGGCCCAACTTTTAGGCTCGCTTGCAAGGCGGGTTCTATCACCTGATATTCATCGCCGAGACAACGCAGCTAACGTAACTTCGACAGAAAAATGTTTTATGTGCGTTGCTATGCAAACGGGGTCACCGGCAATACCGGCGTTCCCAGTACGTTGACTGTTTGTGCGCGGAAAACGCGACATGCTCATCCAGCTCAAGTTGTTAGCTAGGACGTTCATATTTCCTGCAAAGCGTTGGCGGTGACGGCAGCGCATTTTTGTTTTGAAGTTGCGTCGTCCCGCCTGTAGGTATCCGCTGTCATCAGCGGACCACTGGACGCGAGGCCAGAGAACACCTATGGTGAGGCGGTGTTACCAGGTTGATCGCGTGTCGCGACTAACGAGTGCCCTGACCTAATAGACCATTTTCAAGCACACTATCACCGCCAACGTGCACGCAAGCGCTTATCGGAAAAGTTGGTACGCCGCAGCAAGAGCCGTGTGCGGGCCTCATACTTTAACATTCCGTTTGCATGG